CCCATTACTGCCTGTAGGATGGGTGTACACATGAACTCTCCCCACCCTGCTGACCTTTATCCTGATTGGCTCCTGTACATTATATTAGCTGTGTGTGTTTTCTCAATAAATGAGATCCTGCTTTGACTGTTCTCCGTGGCGCGTCTGATTGTCTTCCTGCAAGGGAGGGCTGGGTGTGGGCGGCCAGTGGACCTTTACCTTTCTTGGTTCGTCCTGGTCGGGTTGTGCTCTCCTGCAGGTCAGGAGGGAAGTGGGGGGAGGGCTAAAAACCCCTTGACACATACTAACAAAAAGGATGGTGGAAACCATCATTCTTAAGGCTTATAAGGGGAAAAACCTAAATGAAATTGAGACTTTGTGGTCTAGAAAGAGCCCTGTGGTAAAATCCAACGACACTGCGGATGCAAACTGGGTGATCACCTCATCACTGACGCTTTTCCTGCAGGAGCTCTGGCCATGAAGAAATGGTACAGTGTGGCCTGTACTTGCACCAGTGAGCACTCACGTGCACAGTTACAGTTAAGAATACTTATCCAACTAGCCCATGCAATGGACCCTTCATTAGAGGGGAGAGAACCTGGTCCTTGGGTGCTCACTCACAGTTGACCAAGCTGCACTAATTGGCTGTCACAGGAGGACTGACACAGGGTGGCTCTGTGTCCAAGTGTTTCACTCCTGACCTTTACATATTACCCACTGGGAGGCATACTACTGCACAAACAATACTTATTGAGCACCTAATATTTGCTATGGATTATTATAAAATATGTAAATAAACTAAGGAAAAAACAGAAAGATAAAATCTGATGTGTCTATTCAGGCTGGATGAGAGGGTAGAAACAGGCTTTAAAATAAACAAATAAACTATCTATTGTACTAGGGGCTATATTGTAATGAAAGTTTTAAGAAGGACACAGGGTACTGCAGTGTTTTTAGGGTCAGTGTGTTAAGTATATTCATATTGTTGTAAAACAGATTTCCAGAACATTCTCATCTTCCAGAAATGAAACATGTCTGTTATATAGCGACACCTGCTCTCTCCTCCCAGGCTCTGTGGCCACCATTCTGCTCTCTGTTTCTATACATTTGATGGCATCAGCTTCTCATGTAAGCTGAGTCCATCTTCTTAATTTTGCCTTCTTGTGGCTAGCTTATTTCACTTAGTGTAGTGTCCTCAAAGTTCACATATGGTGTGGCAGGCGGCATGGTCTCCTTTTTTTTTTAAGGCTGATTAACGTTCAGTTGTGTGTATACACCATCCGCTGAGGGACATCCGCGTACTTCCAACTCTTGCTATTGTGAATAGAGCTGATGTGAATATGGGTTTGAAGGGCCTTGAAGGACAGTGTGACATTTGGAAAGGCAGATGGCTGGGAGCTTTCTGAATGGCCAGAAGCCGGGGAGAAACAGGCCTCAGAGAGCAATTGTATGACAAAGAGTTTCAACATGAGGCTAAGTTGTCGAAAGCCAGGTCACAAAAGTTGTGTAAGGGAGTTTTACTGTTTGGGATTGAAATTTGTGAAAGGGCACTGAATAATTTCAAGTTAAAAAAAATGGTTTTGGGCTTTGCATTTTAGAAAGGATATTGTTTTAGGCACATAAAATCTTTTGGAGTGAAGAGAGGTAAGAGAGAAAGATTGGGTTGTTTCAATGTTAGAAAAGTGAATTCAGTGAAAATCCCATGGGATACATCATAAAGAGGTGGGCCACTCAGAAGTCCTTATGAGGACTTTGGACCCACTTGAACTGTTGGAGGGGTGCACACATACTGTTTATTTAGGCTTATTTCAGCCCATCTCTGAGGAGGTGTCCTGGGGAAGAGGTAGAAATGTAAGCACCACTGAGAAGGCAGGCTGACGGCCTCAGTTCACTTTGAAATGAATATTCCCTCTTTTAATCCCAGCCTTATTTTCTTTTAAATTCGTGATGATGTAACTTCATCATTAACACTGCTCACTTTTGAAGGAGAAGTAGGCAGTCATCCTTTGAACTTCACGGCAAATAAAGCTTGACAAATACCAGCAGGATTAACTAGAGTCTGGGGACACCAGGGAAATTGCTTCCTGGAAGATGTTCCAAGGGTGCGCCCAGCTGTGGTTGAAGTCCAGGAACTGAATGCTCCCAGAAGGCAAAGGATTTAAGGTCCAGGATGCCCCGAGATGGGTGGGTCTCTGGAAGTCCTTCAGACTGAGTTCAGGCTGCTTTAGAATTTTCTCTAGAAGAGACAGAAGGGAAGGCTGAGCAACAGGCAGAGAGTGAGATCACCTCCCCGAGATCAAAGAGCCGGGCTAGTTGGTGAGTTTGTACCTTGGCCACTACATGTGAGTAGGACAGCATGAGGACAGGGTGAGGTCATCTCTCACATGTAGGAGCTGGGGAGAAAAGGGAGAGAAGGGGGACCTCAGGAAAACAGGAGGAAGAGCTTTGGAGAGAGGAGGGAGGGCAAGGAAGGCTCCAGGGGCTGCATAAGCCAAATGTGCTGTGTGAACATAGGAATGCACCACAGTGAGATGATGTGTACGAAAACGTGTTCAGAGCATTATAAAGGATTCCACAGTGTGAACACGCCTCGGCCTGATGGTCAAAATTATTGGGCATATTCTGCAAATTCTTCACATTGTAGATAGCTTTTCATGACATCCTGGGAATGTCACTGTTTCCTCTGAAATCCTGACTGTCCCTTTCATGCTGAAGGTGAAGGAGAAGGGAGAAAGAGAAAATATCTTAACGGTGAAATTATTTTGATTTACTAAAATGTTTATTAAAGCTTCATGGTAAAGATATGACCCACAGAGGAATTATTCTCCGGTTTCACTATTGGCATACATGATTTTTTTTTAAGGTGTGCTTCCATGTCCAAAAGTTAGAACTGGGAATGGAAATTGTTTCTTGGACTATTGACATTACGTTTCAATTCAGTGAAAAAGGAAGCCATGTCATTTTTGAGTATCATTAAAACTAGCAAAAGGGTCATTATTATTTAGTTTGATATTTTGAAATGAGTTCTGTCATTGATTATAATTGACAGAGTTCATTTAGAGTATTAACACATACTAGAACCTTTTCTGGAGAAAATGTCAACATCAGATGGAATTTAAACTAATTTTCACATCACTAATAAAGTGCTGTGATGAGCAAAGTGTGCATATTATCAATATGTAACTTGGAGTTTGCCCTGTCCTTGGAAGGAGAATAGAATATTTGTTGATGAACAAAATAGTAATATAGCTTTTTGATATTAAATAGAAATAAACTTTATATATCTCCATCTTGTCATAGGTCAAAGAGATTTCTAAGAGGGAAAACATAGATAACTGTATTTCTTTACAGTTTAGTTGGATTCTAAAGAACAAATTTGAAAACTATTACCTGCTTAGTATTTCTATTAAGGATAAACACTCCCAGCTATCCCCGTCAGTTGATAGAATAACTCAATATCACAAACAATGATCAAGGGACTGGGGTATAGCTCAGTTGGTAGAGTGCTTGCCACGCATGTAAAAGGCCCTGGGTTCAACCCCAGTACCACAAACAACAACAAAAATAAAACAATGATGATCAAGGAGCACAAAAATTTTTCTTTATAGAAAAGTAAATTTAAAAAAATTAATAAGTAGAAGATAATGATAAAGATGTCATTATTTCAAGTTTGAAGTCCTAGGAATTCAGAAGAATTTTGGTGACAATGATATATATCAGACAGAAATAAAAATGGGTCTTGCTTTGGAAAACATCATTTAGGATAAAATCAATTTGAGAAATATCTATGGGCTATGATATTTTACAGGCATGGTAAGAATATGGAGGTTAGATGAAAATAACTGATGTAACATTTTACAAAGATCTGATTGTTAGTTTCCCTTTCAACACTCTGTCTTTCCACTGTTTATTTATTTCCTGATTTTTTTTAATCATCCAGTCCTGAAATTCAACATCTGGGAAATCATCTCAATGCAAAACCATTCAATATCACGCCACATCTGCCCTCAACCTAAAACACCTCTTGATACTTGTTGGATGAGAAGCAGCTGAAGTGTGTAGCGTGTGGTCTGATCCTTTGTGCCTCAGGGTCCTCTGTCACTCACAAGCACACCATGGATGCTGTCCCTGGGGAGCTGGGTTGGGGCAAGTACTGCTCACCTCCCTCCCTGCATGTAAAACAAGCTCCCGTACTCCTCAGGTTGGCATGTCACAATGGATGAAGCTGTCAAAACCAGAGGGGGCTCCTCTTCTGTCTCTACCTGTGCATCACACTCAGTTTGTAACATTTTGTGATAGGGAGGAAATAGATTTCTAAAGTATAAGCAAAAAACAAAATCTCCAGCTGTGCTCCACATACACACAATTAGGAGAAGCAAAACTATTCCCCAAGGAGAAGTGAGTATCATGTTCTTCAATGCAGTGATATTTTAATGGACGTCTTCATAGAATAAGACCAAGCTCCAAGACTTGATCTGAGCTAGGAGAGTTAAAACACATCTACTCTCTGAGTTAATGTGCACAGGGGTCCACAGCAGGGAGCATCACTGACCTCATCTAATCTTTCACTGGGTGGGGGCGGCAGGGGTGGGGTGGTAGGAGGAAGACATGAAAGCTGGGATTTTAGCACTGAAGACCAACAACTGCAGGCATAGGCAGACCAGAAAGAAACGTTCAGTACCAACTTTCCTGGGATAGGGATGATGGTGACCTTCAGCAACAGAGATGTGTGATCATTGTTCCTCCTATGCTCTCTGTACCCATGAGTAAGCTTTTAGAAAGTTTAGGACTCTTGTAGGTAAAATAAAGAAAATGCATACTAAAATCATTCTCTAAGGTTGAATGAGGAACCTCATGGCTCACAGCTATTAAGGGAGGCAGGTGGAGGCTGGTGAGAAGGTCTCGCCTGCCTCCGATGCCCCGTCCAGCAAAGGTCCTTGCTGCACCATGCACTGGAAATCTGAATTAATAGGTAAGCTTCTGTCTTCCCTGGGACTTTCAGATAAGGCAAATTATTGAGGATGGAGTCAGGAAACCGGACGTCCAGCCCTGTCTTCATCCTGCTGGGCATCTTCAACCACAGCCCCACCCACACCTTCCTCTTCGCTCTGGTCCTGGGCATCTTCACAGTGGCCATCATGGGGAACTCCACCATGGTGCTCCTCATCCACCTGGACGCCCAGCTGCACACCCCCATGTACTTCCTCCTCAGCCAGCTCTCCCTCATGGACCTCATGCTCATCTGCACCACCGTCCCCAGGATGGCCTTCAACTACCTGACTGGCAGGAACTCCATCTCACTAGCAGGCTGTGGAGCCCAGATATTCTTCTATGTGTCCCTGCTGGGAGCCGAGTGCTTCCTGTTGGCTGTCATGGCCTATGACCGCTATGTGGCCATTTGCTATCCCCTTCGGTACACCATCCTCATGAGTCAGAAACTCTGTGTACTCCTGGCGGTGGCTTCCTGGATCTTGGGGTCTCTTGATGGCATCATTGTGCTGGCAGCTGCCCTGTCATTCTCTTACTGTGGCTCTCTGGAAATACATCACTTTTTCTGTGACGTGGCTGGCCTCTTGCCTCTCTCCTGCACAGACACGTCTGCATTTGAAAGGCTGCTCTTCGTCTGTTGTGTGGTGATGCTCATCCTGCCAGTTTCAGTTATTGTCACGTCCTACTCCCGTGTCCTCCTAGCTGTCCTCCACATGGGCTCTGGAGAAAGCCACCGCAAAGCCTTCGCCACCTGCTCCTCCCACCTCATGGTGGTGGGACTCTACTACGGGGCTGCCATGTTCATGTACATGAGACCAGCCTCCACCCACACAGCAGAGCAGGACAAGATGGTGTCGGCCTTCTACACCATCCTCACCCCCATGCTGAACCCCCTCATCTACAGCCTGCGCAACAGGGAGGTGTCCAGGGGGCTCAGGAAGTTCCTGAGGAGAGGAAGGTTACTGTGACTTTCTCCAGCGTCTGCTGAGGGTCTGTCCAGGATGCTGGCCTTCCAGGCCAGGGGTCCTTCTGCAGGTTCTGACCTCAGTGGAGAGCAGGGGTTGCAGTTTTCCTCTGTGTTTGGAGAGATACCTCTGTGTTCCTGATTCATTCCCACCTGTACTTCAGGTTTACCGATGCTCAGACCTGTCCGGGCTATTTTAATCCTGATCCTTCTTTATTTCCTTCCCAAGCATTTAGGAACGGGGAATCTTTCCAAATAATTTTTATGTCTATATAAAATATTTAGCATTTTATGACAGGGAGGAAATGAATTTCTAAAATAAATAAAATACCTCTTAGAAATTTATTCTTTTTTCATCTTTAAATTAAAAGTGGATACTTTAATGAGTCCAGAAGCAACATCAATTCCTTTTGGCTGCAGAATCATCCTCATGATTGTGATCGTTTTACTCCTCTCTCATTCTTACATCAACAACCGATCTGTTTGGAGACGTTAGCAAACTCTCAGTTTCAGGAACTACTGGTCATAATTTTTTGCACAGCTCAAAAGTGACTTATTATACATAATCCCATAAAACTCACTAAAGTTTTATTGAAAAATATTTCTGGCCTCTAAATCTGTCCAAATTAATTAATTAATATCCATAAGTTGCCCATACTTTGATAAAACATTTATGTTCCCAAGCTATTTTCACAAGATTGTAATCTGTGTATGTCAATCTGCAATATTTTTGAGAATTGAAGTCAATCATTGCCTGGGTTTCTGTGCTTATATTTTAAATCGAATCTTTGTTGCATCATGTGTATTATTTAAAAATTTTTTCTAACTAAACCTTCAGCTTTTGCTTTAATGATATGACCATGTGTTATAATCTATTTCATTCCTTGGGGCACTATAAAATATTTTTGGACAATTAGAATATTCTTAATGCTTTTGTTTTAGGTAAATTTAACAAGGATAGGTGTACATTTCAGTGGATGTTAATATGTTCACATATTTGTGCAAACATCACTCCAAAAAGAAAGCTCATAATCTCTAGCAGTTATTCCTCATCCCCTCCTGCCCTGTCCTTGGCCAGCACTGCTTTGGCTGTAGATTTGCCTGTTGGGTCGTCACACATGGATGGGATGTGGTCTTTGGACTGGCTTCTACTTAGTATAATGTTTTCATGTGTCTTGTGGAAGCATGATCAGTGCTACATTCTCACATGCAAATTAGCAATATTCCTTGGAAAGATTGTCCTACATTTTATTTGTTCAGTCAATAATTAAGTTTTTGGAATATTTTCTTATTTTGACTCTTGTGAATAATGCTATCTCAAGCATTCATGCACAGGTTTTCATGAGACATGTTTTCAAACCTGCTGTGTACATACCTGGAGGTGGATTTGCTCCAGCATGTGGAAATTCTCTTTAATTTACAGATACTGATCAGCTGGTTTTAATAGTGGCTGCAAACTGTTTCCTCCAACAATGTCTGAGGGTTTCAATAGCTTCACATCCTACCCATCCTGTGTTATTCTCTCCTTTTTGGGTTTTAGCCATTCTATTGGGCATGAAGTTGTATTTAATTCATTGTGATTTTGATTTATATTATGACTAATGATATTGAGGATTTTTCACTTGCTTGTGATCATTTGCATCATATCTTTGAAGGAATGTTCATTAAGATCCATTTCAACTGCATTGTCTTTTTGGTGTTAATTTGTCAGAGCGCTTATATCGTCTGAACCTTATACCTTTGTCAGATGTATAATTTGCAAATATTTTCTCTTATTTGGTGAGTTGTCTTTTTACTTTATTTAATGTTTTTGGATTATAAAAACTTATGCTTTTGATCGAGTTCAAATTCTGTTTATTCTAATGCTTATGGCTTTAATATTATATCTAAGAAATATTGTTTAAACTAAGTCAGAAAGATGTAGGCCTAGTTTTTATTTAAGAGCATGGTGGCTTTCATTCTTGCATTAATACAGACCCATCCTGTAGTGGGAGGTGCTGTTCAGCTGCATTCTTTTGCAGATGGCTATCAAATTGTGATAGTACCATTTATTTATTTATTTTTTTGAAAATTCGTGATTTTCCTCTTGAATTGCTTATATACTCTCATCAAAACCTGGTTAATCCTAGATTCACTATTTACTTATGGACCCTTAGTTCTGTAGTAGGGATCTGCCTCTCTGTCTTATGTGACCTGGAATACGACAGTGTCATGGTAAGCTCAAAGCTAGGAAGTGGGTTTCTCAATTCTGTCACTCTGGCCAGTTTCAGCTATGCTAGGTCTCTTGAATTCCTGTGTAAATGTTAGAATCCTCATGTAAATTTCTGAAAAATGTAACAGCTGAAGGTTTTGGTGTTGCAGTAATTCACGTGCAGGTCAGCATGGGAAAAGAAAGAAGAAGCAGAGCAAGCAAAGCAGCAGCAGAAAAAAGTCCTTTATCGTGTACGAGCAATCTTTTTATAGTATTGTAAACAAAGAAGGCAGCCTTCCAACAGCAATAAATCAGGTCTTTCAGCTAATTAAACAGAGCATACAGAATTTTTACTTTCTAATCAGAAGTGACCCGCTTCTCATGGCTAATCTATTCTCGGCCTGGAGTATGTTGAGCTCTGCTCTTTGTTAAGAACAGATAATAAATTTTTTTCTCAGCGCCCTCCTAGCCCACTTGGCAGAACATCCCGTTTGCAGGCAAGTCCTCCCAAGGACAGCAGGCACCTCGTTTTCAAGCATGTCCACTGTTACCTATCTATACCTTGACAGAATATCCCGTTTGCAGGCAGACTCCATCAAGGACAGTAATAGTAATGCAGTTACATCTGATTCTCTACATTTGGGGGGTGCTATTGTTGTGCAGATTGGTTTTGGTGCATTTCTACTTTAATACTCAATCTAATTTATAGATATATTCCTTTCTCTCAACCTTCCTTCCTTGTAACATTTTCTAGTTCAGGGGTGTTCCGATCTTTTTTTATTATTTGCATTAATTGATAAGAGTTTATTCACTTTTATTCTTTTACAAATACATTAATTTTTCTGATCACATTTTCTGGTTATTCATTGCTGATTTTAGGATGCTGCTTTTTGATATGTAGATGATGCTACAGTTCACTGTGGACAGAGGTAGTGTTGGATCAAGGTAGCGTTGTTTAGAACATGCAAGGATGAAGCATTAGGCAAACAATTTAGCAATTAACCCCTTTGTCACCTCTCAATCTTGAGAGATTGGCCAAAATCATGGGCAATGGCACCACCTCCTACCACCAGCACTACTGATTTGTTTGATATTAGCACAGAATGCACAATTCATATGCCAAATTAGAGGATTCTCACATTTTTTCATGACTTTGTCGCTGATTGTAATGAGATTGTCTTATGTACAATGGATAACTGCATATGAGGATTTGGGGTTTTCCAATGAGCACCACACATCAAGGCATGAGACGGTCACCAGGAGGATAGCGCCAAGAAACTGAAACAGACTTCAGAACAAAATCTTGCAGGTTCCACCTCAGCAAAGCCAAATGGTCCAAAATCTAGGCAGCAAACTTGGTTCAATGGCAGTCGAGTTTTTGTTGGTGGTCTTTGCTTTGGGCTCAATGGCAATTAAGAGCCACAATTCCCAGTGAGGAAGCCTGATTCAAAGTGGCATGAATTTTGTAGTTAGCCTTGGAACACAGATGACGATAATCTGGAGACACACTAAAAGAGACATAAAAGTTAGAAAACTTTGGTGTGGCCCATCTTGCCATCCACCACTCAGTTGGCTGGTAAGAGAGTTTCTGGGTATTCCCACAAGCAAAGCAAGTGTTCACTTCCCAGGAGAAATGTCCTGGCTATAGGGGCAATATCTACAGAAACAGCTTTGTCAGTCACCTTTTAAATAAAACTCCCTGTCATAGTAAAATCATGGGAAATATAAGAGTAGAAATACAGAATGTTCAACACCATGAATGAATTCTTAGTCAGACATGAAACCTTTCTAAAGCTTCATAAGGTCTTATTAAGTTTTTTGTTGATAAACATTCTCATCCATCTGTTGGAGGGTGGCCTGTATCTGACTGTACCTGTGGGGGTCTGATTGGCTACAAAATCCAAAAATTTTTCCCAACTTATAGGTTGACTTTAAATTCCATACAATCAGCTCCCCACTATATAAGTCCACATGCACACATACACACGTGTAGAGTGACCCCCCCCCCTCCAGGAGCCCCACTGGAACCTTTCTTCAGTGGAAACCAGCTTTCCTTCTTCTATTACAATGTTGGTACTAACTTTGGTTACTGACCCCCTTTGACCTTGGATTAAAAGAAATATCATGAGAATTTCCAGGGAAAGCTGTTCAGAAGGCAAAAGTGGGCCAGGCCAAATAGCAGGATCAGAACCAGAGAGGGCACTAAACTGAGTAAGAAAAGTTCTCCATAACCTCAGTATGAAACTTGGGAGCTGGAAAAGGGAGCCCCATAGGAGTTCTTGACTGTGGACTGGGTCACATCTGCTCACCCTTAGTTCTGCGTGGTTCTGAACTGGGCCCAGTGGGAGACTCCCTCCTGTGTGGTCCTCTTACAACATGCTAAAAGTGTCCATGAGAACGTTGGGTGCAGAGAGCTTGTCTGGGGTTATTATACCAATTGCTCTTTCCTGTAGAAGTGTTTCCTGGGTCTTGAGTATAGGATTTGAGAAGTGCAAGGCACCTTGTGCAGGCCACAGTCAGGCAGGGTTTCTACACCTGATCACACGTGGGTGTTCATTGGAGAGATTAGGGTACTGCTTCCAGTGAGTGTGGGGGAGCAAACTGATATGCAAAATATCAATAACAAACTTCCTCTGTACTCCTAGGGTTCAGGATGACTCTCATTAGGGATACATAAAGGTTGGCAGGCTGTCTTTTTAGCATTAGTCTACACATCAAACAATTGTTCTGATGTCTTGCTAAAGTATAAGCCTTTGCTTAAGCCATCCCCAAATTTGGTCTTGTGGATTGTCCTGTGAGAACAGGGAAAGGAC